AGGGGTGGGTTTCTCCCCCCGTTCCAACCGAACCGGTTGGAACGGGGTGAGAAACCCACCCCTGCCCCACCCCCATGCCATATTTTATCCAATTCTCTTGTGGATAGGCAGACAACGAGGGCAATCTCTTCTCAGCTAGGACTCTAGCAAGAATAAACAAAATATTGTTGAGTTACTCAAATATCCAGGTTTAATCATCAAAGTAAAGAACTGGTAGATTCTTTGGGAGAGTTCAGCCCTAAGCAGCACAGAATATAATTTGTACCCAAGAAGAGGACTCCCCCTCCCAAAGGCAGGATTTTGCATACCTAAATATGGATATGACGATTTTGTAATAATTGTAAAATTATTTCTTATTTTAATCTTGGTCAAATGAACCAATTTTATATTCTTTCATTTTACCTCTGAAAATCTTAATCTTTAGTTCATTCAAATATTGTCACAGGAACTGATCTCTGTTTAAGTCTTTTTTTGTCACATCCCAGACAAGATTTCTTTGAGGCTCTAATAACCCTCTTTTAAAAATCGAACAAAAAGACATCATTCAACTCATTCTCATGGTTTATCACTTTTATTTCCCCTTTGATTTTAAAGCTTCAGTCAACTTCTTTTGTATAGCCAGTACAGAGTCTCTATTCAGTTAATTCTCTTAGCCTGTCATATTTCCACTTTAAATGCCTCCTCTGAGTTACAATCCATCTTTCTGATTCTACTATTTCTGCACCAAGCAAGATGTGTTTTACATCTGCCATTTCTTCATTAGCGTCCTTTAAACATAGTTTATTTATAGAAGCAGATATTATTACTGATATTGTGGCTATTTGTGGCTCTATTCTTCCAAGGTCTCTTTAATATTTCAAATATTATAGTGTTTCTGTACCATTTCTAAAACCCAGTCCTAATCAAAATTAGGGAAGGTGGAGGTTTTATGATATAGCATCTTTAGTCCCCTCTGGAGTCTTTAATCCCTTTTATGACTTACAGTAGACAAAATGATTTTGATTTCCATGAACCACTTTTTTTCTTTGAAAAAAATAGCGGACCCTATGAATGTGACTGTGTAACAAAAGCTAAAATTTTCAGAGGATAATATTCTCTTCAATTAGTATATAGACTTTGACAACTCAACAGTGTTAATTGGATTTTCCATGCCCTTACTAGGCTAAAAGACAGATACTTCAGCATTGGAAAAATAATTTTACGGCCAATTTACTCAAAGGATTGAAGACCTGATTGCATTTGTTACCTATGATCAGATTGCCCTTAGAGGCAGACTTTATATGGATAAGTATAATGAAATATGGTACTCATTTATACAAAATACAAAGGTTAATTTCAAAAAGCAACATAATTGTATAATTGTATTAGAAACCCACCCACCCACATTTGCATAATGTTTGCATTAAATAAGGGACACAATGGGTCATCAGTTAAAAATGCTCAGCTTTCCAGCTGGCAACCCAGTTTTGAGACCCAAGCACTACATGAAGAGGTGAGCTCCTGTTATTTGCCCCAGCTCCTGCCCACCTAGCAGTTTGAAAGCATGCACATGCAAGTAGATTAATAGGTACCACTTCAGTGGGAAGGTAACAGCATTCCCTGCACTCAGCTTATAGTCATGCTGGCCACATGACCATGGGAAATGTCTTTGGGCACCTCTGGCTTCTTCAGCTAAGAAATGGATATCAGCATCATGCCTTAGAGCAGGGATGTCAAACTCGATTTCATTGAGGGCCATATCAGGGTTGTATTTGACCTCGGGGAAGGGGAGGAGTATCACCATGGTGGGTGTGGCCAGCTCAACATCACTTGTGCCAGGGGCGCCAGCTGGAGTCTCCTGCAGGGCTCTGCCATCATGCGACCCTTCCGAGTGTCGTTTTTTCTGGCAGAGGTACCATGGGCTGGTCCTTCACTGTTTCCAAGGCAGCCCCGCAGGCCAGATCTAAGCATCCCATGGGCCGGATCCGACCCACGGGCCTTGAGGTTGACACCCCTGCTCTAAAGTCAGACACGACTGGACAGGGGAAGCCTATACTTTCTTTTTGTATTAGAATTGTATCGGATTACTATTGTGTCAACATTTTATACTTAATATTTTATTTTATTTTTGTTGTATTTTTTTCACTTATTTCTAAGCACTTATCTATTTTTAACACCACCGACAATGCTGCTGCCCTACAAAGAGACCTTGACTATGTGTCAGAATGGTCAAACAATTGGCAACTCCAAATCTNCATTCCATTTATTGAATTTCTATGCCGCCCAATCCCGGAGGACTCCAGGCAGCTTACAGAAATGAAAAGAATTAAAAAGAATTATTAAAAACAATGAGACACAACAAGGTTAAAAAGGAACACAACAGACACCCAATCAGAAGGGGCTGGACCTCAATCAAGGGGTCAACAGCCCCAAGCCAGCCAGAAAAGCCAGGTTTTAATGGCTTTGCGAAAGGCCATGACAGAGGGCAGGGCCCGGATCTCTGGGGACAGCTCATTCCATAGGGCCAGAGCGGCAACAGAGAAGGCCCTACTCCTAGGCATCGCCAGCCGGCATTGTCCCGCTGAAGGCACCCAGAGAAGGCCCATCCCGTGCGATCTTATTGGTCTGAGTGAGGTATGTGGCAGAAGATGGTCTCGTAGATACCCAGGTCCTAGGCTATGTAGGGCTTTAAAGGTGATATATATGGTATTAGCAGCAATTTTGGGGGTATTATTGGGAGGAACTCTCACCCAAAGCTCGGCGGTGAGTTTAGTGGTTTGCATATCTAATAAGGGTGATGATTCACCTAGATGCACCATTCAGCCTTTGATTCAGTTTTTCAGCCATTCAGTCCCCTCTGAGCCACATAACTGGCCAAACAACATTTCTGTATCATCTATTTATGTGAATTGCAATTTGGTAGGCTTTAAGGGTTCCCTTTGCACATATGTGCTAGTCTTTCCTGACTCTAGGGGGCAGTGCTCATCTCCATTTCCAAACCAAAGAGCCAGCGCTGTCCGAAGACACCTCTGTCTTCATGTGGCCGGCATGACTAAATGCCAAAGGCGCACAGAACAAGGTGGTCCCTATTTTTCTACTTGTATTTTTACATGCTTTCGAACTGCTAGGATGGCAGAAGCTGGGACCAGTAACGGGAGCTCACTCCATTATACGCCGCTAGCTATTCGAACCGCCAAACTGCCGACCTTTCTGATCGACAAGCTCAGTATTTTAAGCCACTGAGCCACCGCGTCCCATTTGTGATATGCTAAGCTGTAAAACAGAGTTACAAACATTAATTAAATTCAGTAACATAACACAGAAACCTATCAATCATGCTGCTTTCATACATGCTTTCTTTCGGAGTGGAGTGGTTGGGGCATGATTTCGGTAAATTATGGCTTCAGGTCAAAGCTTTATGCCATCCATAGTTTAATAAAAGGCATGAACTCAGCTACTTCCCTTATCTTTATTGGCTTCCCGAAGAACACCGGGCATGTTTCAAAAGTGTAAGGAGGTGACAAATCTCTACAATCTTGAGATTACTCTCACATGTTTCTACAGGAAAGTTGTTTTATTATAAAAGAGATGAGAAAATAGAAAGAGCGGACTCAACAAAATGCAAGTATATTTATTGGATCACTGTGTGGTTTGCAAAGTTGGAGAGGGAGAAACCTACATTTCTTTTTCCCGTAGACACAACTGATCCATCCAGCATCAAGGCCGCCGCAGCCAAAGTCACAGAATGCTTAAAAGGGGCTGGATTGAACCTCCTGATTAATAATGCCGGGATTGTAAATATGAGCAGCCTGGAGACTGAAACACCAGAGAACATGGCTGAGACCTACAGAACCAATGTGATTGGGCCCATGATAATTGTCCAGGTAAAGAAACTTTCTGGCCCTTTGGAGTAAAAAGAATATGTAGATGCAGTCTGTTTAACTGTTTAACTGTTTATTTCATTTGTATGCCGCCCTTTTCCCCCGAGGGGGACTCAGGGCGGCTCACAGCTCAAAGGGAAGGGGGGACAGTCATTCCATACAAGAAGTTTTGGCTTGTTCGGGTTTGTTTTCCCTGGATTAAGAAATTCTAGGGTGAGGCTGAACTGTTTCCAGGGAATTGTTCCAATCTAGGCTTCCAGAAAGCATGAAGCAAATTCCTTGTCCCGACAAAAAACCCTTTAATTAATTTACTGTGAATTCTGCTCATTCACATCCAGGAAAGTCTTTCGAGGGAGGATTTACAGTCACAGACTTTATCTG